TTTCTGCTAACGGCAATGCTAATCAGTATGTGAAAATGACAATAAACGCTATTCCTATCACAACGTTTAACCACATTTTTCAACTAATATTGCCCCTGATCACCGCTGTTTGTAGCAATTTAGCAATTAGGCGTATTAACTTGGTGAAGACAACTACAAACCTAATTTGGATGAATTTTAATTTTTGTTTTCTTTTTCAAAAATTTGTATTTGAATAAAAAAAATGAAACAGTAAACCAGTTAGATTTCGGTTTAAAAAAAAACAGAAAAGAAAACCATTACAATTAAAAAAAAAATTTAGAAACAAAAGGAAAGAACCATAAAAAGAATGCCATTGGATTCAAATTAGTTTGCAAAACAGCAATCATCAACAAACTCTTCGGTTAACAGTGACAAGAACAGTGTAAAGGCAGAGATAAATTCTGATTGAAACGTACAGTAAACAGAAATAGAAAAAAAGAAAAATATTTGAAAAAGTATAGTTCCAAAAAAAAAAGTATATATTTGAAGTATAAATTAAACGAACAAAAAAAGTTTTTTTCCCTTAAAAATTAAAAAATTATTAGGTTTTGTTGAATTTGTCAGTTTTTCTGCTCAATTAGAAACTCACTCGTTTTCGTTGCAAAACTGTATGATGTTAAAGTCACTGCAGTCACCCAGTGGATCCGTATCGTCTGAAAATAAGAAAAGAAGAAGAAAAAAAACAGGAAATGAATACAGCTGTAAATAATTCATTCACACAGCAAAAATTTTTTTTCCTTTTTAACTCTTTTTGTTTTTAATGGTAGCTATTAATTTCATGCAAAATTAATATTATTAGAAAAGATGAAAAAAAAAATAGACGTAATAATCGGGAAAATGGCAATAAAGAGAGAAAAAAAAAGAAAAAATTGACCAATTTCATTACCCAAATATTGAGAATCCAAGAAAAAAAAGAATAGTAATGAGACAGAAGAAAAAAAAAGGAAGACGATGACGGTGATGCAGAAATCAAAATCAAAACCAAACATCAACTTCTACAAATTGATGTCAGTGATATATGTATGACGACACTTGGATGAGCATCGACTCCTAATGAAATATCGTTGCAAATTTTAAACATCATATCACACCTGCTGCACTACTAATATTCCTGTAGTTTTTTTTATTGCTTTAACCTAATACAGAACTCTCAGACCAAAAAGAAAAATCATCTTTTTTTTTCCCTTGCTCTAAAAGTTTTGATAATAGTTACAATAACGAAATAAGTATCAGCAACTGAAAAGGATCAAAATCTTT